ATGGCCATCGTCTCGGTTGGCGGGTGGTCGGGCGAACGATGCCCATCGGCCAGGATCGGCGATCCAACGATCGACGGTTAACGAAGAGTTCACGTCGTTCCCCGAACGACCTTCCATTAACGGGTGTTGCTCGACCCCGGTGCGGTTCTCTACACGACCGTCGTAACCGCTACCTTCGAGACTCTCGAATCGAACAGTGGTCGCGGAGGAGGAGGAGGATGAGGTGATTGTTTCGTCGGTGTCCGTACTATCGTCCGTGTGGTTTCGTTTGTTCGACTGCGGTTTAACCATCGATCCGTCCGCACCGTGAATATCGTAATCCGCGCTCTTAGCCGCGTATTCGTAATCCTCGACACGGTCGGTTGACGGTTCATCGTGTTCGTCACTAAGAAACGTCCTAAAACGATTACGGTCGTGGGGGTTATTGGAATTAGAAAGACTGGCCTGATGAGTCTGACCGTGATCTACGTGTGCTACGAACCTGCTGGTGTAGCCGGCCGGCGTTGTCAAGCTCGCGGCGCCGCTCGTTGCTGTCGTCATCGTCGTCGTCGTCGCTGTCACCGGCCCCGTCACCGAATGCGCGGGACTCCCTCTCGGCGACGAATACCTGAGACACGATATTCATCCCTCGATATTCTAGTTTAATCCAGTTTCGCGATCTCTTCGCGTCGCCCTTCGCCAAAATACTCGCAAAGTACTCCGATCGCGCGCAAAACCGATTCTTTCTTATTTTTTTTTTTTTTTTTACATACACAAATTGGAATTTCTCGCGCTTCGAGACGAATTCGAGATTAATCGTGGAAATTAGCGGCCAATTCCGCTCATCGACGCGATCCGCGAGGAAACTTGCCTTCATCGAATTTTCCATCTCGAAATTGTCGCATCACGCTCATTTTTCCCCCCTTCTTTCTTCCTTTCTTCCCTCTACAACGGAGAAAAAAAAAAAGACGATCGACACGCGAGGGACGCTTTCTTAAATATCCTTTTCGTCGCGCAACGAGGAAAAAGAAAAAGAAAAAAAAAAAAAAGAAAGTTATTTCATCGTTCGATTAACACACCTAACGACCGACATGGTATTATAATGAACATACATTCGTACACCGATGTTACTTGTTAATAAAAATCTACGAGATCAAATGAATTGCGGAAGGAAATATATGTTATACTTGCCTGGTCGTTGGCGAGTCCTCCTTGCTGCCTCGTCTGGCCTCCGCGCTTCGAGCCAGAAGGGGG